TCTAAACTTGCCCACAGTGGAGGTCTTGATCTTCCCCCAGGCCCAGACTTGCTCGCCTGCGATGGGATTCCAGGAAGCCAACCCTAGACAAAGATTGGTGTGCCTGAGTGGCTTAGTAAGCAAGGACTCCCAGGAGGAGCTGGTAAAGGAGTGGGAGACGTAAGATAAAGGGAGCAGGAAGTCCAGCAAGGGTAAGATTTTAGACCAAGACTTGAAGGTAGCTTTGGTTTGACAGTTCGATCTGGGTTACCTCTGCCAGGTGTCTGGCTGGAGGAAAGGGAGCTGGGCTTCCACACTCCTGCCCTGTGCAAGTAGGTCATGCCGAGAGCTGGGGAATACCCCTGCAAGGGTAGAGGGGCTCCTTTAGTCAAGGGCTTGCCTCTGAAGAGGGCTACAGAGCAGCAGCACACCACAGCTGAGAGGGGCGAGCACAGACATGCCAGAGGGACCCGGGGGATTTGAGGGGCCCCGACAGTGTCTACTCTGCATGGCTCCCCATCGCAGGGAATGCCATTGCCCTGTGATGGGTACTTGGGGTTGTTTTGCCTCTTGATTATCATGAATGCCACTGTGAACATGGGTGTACAGGTTATCTCTCTAAGTTTCTGTTCTAAATTCTTTTGTGTATATATCCTGAAATAGTATTGCTGGATCATAGGGTAATTCTCTCTTTAGTTTTCCAAGGAACTGTCATACTGTTTTCCATAGTGGCTGTCCACTTTTACATCAGCTGTGTATAAGCTTTCCAATTTATTCATAGTTCCACAAACACATACATTTTTTTAAGATTTACTTATTTATACAGGAACTGGGGTGTATGCCAGAGGCGTGGGAGTGAGAAGATTCACCAGAGACAGAGTGGGGAGCAGGACAGGCAGATCTACTGAAATACACTGCTGAGGGGAGCATAGGGCAAGTCGAGGTCTGCTGTGCCCTGTGGGTCAGCTCCCTGGCCAGGGATCGAACTTATGCTGCAGGGGCTGACAATAGCAGGGGTCCTTAACCCCTGCACCACATTTTCTGCTTCTTTTTTTTAAAATGTGGTTATTTCTTATTCTTTCCACAGTGAGCACTCAGAACCAAGCTGTTTTCATTATTTTTTCTTTTGCCTGGATTATTGCAAGACTCCCAGCTCACCTCCCTGCTCTGCTCTCCTCCTCTTAGCCAGCTTTCAAGGCCACTCCTCTGCTCAGACTTCCCAGGGCCTTCATCCCTCCCACTCAGTAAAAGCCCTGATTCTTACAAGGAAGCTCGGACTTGTTTTCCACCCTCCAGCTGACTCATTTCCTACTTGCTCACTCTGTTCCAGCCACGCTACCCCTTGCCTCAGGGCCTTTGCTGTAGATGTATTCTACCTGGAATACTAACTCATTCCTTCACTTCTTCCATGTCTGTTCAGAAGTCCCATCACAGTAAGGCCTCTGGGCTTTCTGGTTTGCTCACCATCGCTGCCCAGTGCCTGGAGATAAAGACCTCAGTACACATCATCTCCTGGACTTTCTTGCCCCTGAGGCTTCTGGGTTGGTTTAGTCTATGGGAAGCACTGCCAGGAGGTGAAGGGCAAAGGAGAGATGGTATGATATTATTTTCCCTGCAATCCCCCTTGCTCTGCCCTGGGCAGTCGACTCTGTCCCTCTTCAGCTGTTACGGGGCAGGGAGAGGAACATCCCTGAATCCACAAACTGGCCATCTTTAAATAGGTTCTGTCGGCCCTCCCTGGTGGCACAGCGGGTTAAAGCACAGCACTAAGAAGCTTAAGCCACTTCCGCATGAGTTCAATCCCACCTGCCCGGGAGATGACCACGTGGCGCGGCAGACCTCTCCTGACCCGCCTGCTGCTCCCCTCAGCAGTGTACTCCGTCAATCTGCCTGTTCTGCTCCCCACTCTGTGTCTGGTGAATCCTCTCACCCTCCACATCTCTGGCCTGTACCCCAGTTCTATATGAATAAATAAATCTTTTTT